TCGTCAACTACAAAACAGAAACAATACCTCACCAAATCCGAATCAAAATTCAATTGTTCAACAATATATATATGTATACAAAATCAAACGTATCATCAATATGTATATATTTACGAGAATGATGAATTTATATATAAGAAGAAGATTTGAAATGAGCAATTTATATATAAGAAGAAGATTTGAAATGAGCAGTTATAGAAATGGTGAAGAAGAAGAGATCTGAAGCAATGAAGGTTCAAAAACGACGTCGTTTTGATGGATTGCTTCATCAATTGTCAACTATTAGTGAGGTTTTACGGAAGAGACGTCTCTATATTAGGTAGTTAGTAAAGTTTTATACCCATTTTGTCCCTCCATATCCGATATTCGTATCGAGGTTCAATTTAATTTAAATTTACGTATCGTAACATATATTTATTGGGAACGGTTCTCTTAACATATTTTTAGAACATAAATAAAGATTTACGTGCTATTTAATAAATTGCATTGATCAATAATCAAGAAGAAATGTCGAATATGCATGTTAAAAGTTCTTTTTTCATATAACTATCATTATTGACGCACTAATTAATTAAATTTGTATTAGGTAAAATCTTTTAAAAAGGATATTCTTTATTAAGATTTTTTTTCTCTACCAGCTTAAGTAGGAGGTCTTATTCATCTCAACAAATTTCTTGGTGGTGCAAAGTTTATATATTATTAGTATGTATAACTTAAAGTTCAAAATGTATATTTATTTATTTCTATGTAAATTGTAATGATCGTGTGATAAGCATTAATTAATATATAATGATAACTAACTTGTTATATTATTCAAAAAGAACATAATTGTATTTGATATTTATAAAAATTCAATGAACATATGTTATATGTCTTAACATATATTGGTACTAATCAAATATGATTAACTAATACATATTTTAATTTATTAGTTAAAGTGTGATTTCATAAAATCATGGAATGTGAATAAGTTTCTAATGAGACAAATGAATTTGAATTATGGCTAAGTGCATTGTGATTAATTATGTCTTTCTTATAGGAAAACAAATTAGAGAAAAGAAAATCATTTTGAAGATGTTAATGTATTAATTAGTGAGGATCTCATTTTTAGTTTACTATGCAAAGAACTTCTTAACCTAATTAATTAAAATACTTGAAATGTTGTTGACTAAATTCTATGAAATACACATTATTTTGTGGTGATATGATTTGTATAATTAGTTTATTTCTTTTTTATTGCATTCAAAACTTATAATCATCATTTCATCAAAAAGCTAGTTAATTAAATCTTGCGTTAATGATATTTTTAATCTTATATTTAATGATAGCACTTTATTTTAATCCTTGTGAATAGTCACAAATCTTTTGAAGTGTTAATCATCCAATTCCATTTAATTTCTTGTATGTTATATATGTTAAAGTTGTGTTATTACTTCATATTTTGAAGATAATTGTATACTTTTAAAATCTAAATACAAGTCATTTTCTTTTATATATATATATATATATATATATATATATATATATATATATATATATATATATTCTCTAAGGGATCGAAAACACTATTATTGCTTAAATATTTATTTCAATTATCAATACATAGTATGCATATTAGAGAACGTAATAAAGAATTTGAGATTGTCAAATAATGAAATTTGTTAAAAATAATTATAGATTAATTTCATTTTCATAATCTATTTTCATATTATAAAGACTTAAGACCACGATAATCACAAATCACCGGAAAACAGAATAACAAATTAATAATAGATACACAGTATGAGTTCCTCTGATTACCATAATTAGTTCATAATATAATTCATTTGCTTTATGAGTAAAAATGAAGCAAAAATCTTTTTTAGGTGTGCATATAAAAAAAATTGAAAAAAAAACATGAGTTTGTTGGCACATCCAACAACTTAATTAACAATGAATAATTAAGATTAGTAAATTATTGGTGATGAGCAAAAATGATAATCTTGATCACAACCATAATTATGTCATATATTATATTTTTCTTATGATTAGGTAGAACTTGGGTTTAATTTATGGGTTATTAAACTTTCTAACTAATTTTTTGGCTTAGAATACTAATAGCTACATATATATTATAGGGATTCAACATTTTTAATCTCTTAAATATCTAACAAATTTTGATTTTATTGCTTGTGATTATTTATTTATTTATTTCTCATCTGATGTTGGATAATAAAGTTTCAAATTTTAATTTGAGTTAAAAAAATTCTTAATAAAAAATGACTTATTCTTTAATAAATTTTATGTAACGTAAATTCGAATAAATAATATTAAATACGAGAAGCATAAAAGAAAAAAAACCATTTACTCCACATGTAATGTTGAGTATTAGTCGACATTTTTCACTTTTTTTAATTTAAAATAACTAATGATGCTCTAAATTTAAAAAAATCATTTTTTTTAAAGTAGATAAACATAGATATCTAATTTTTCCAACTTTGACTCAGAATAACATTTCAAAATTACATTGATAGATTACATTCTACCAATATCACACAAAACCTATATAACATATTTATTAAACTATATACATATTTTTTATACATGTATACCAAACCCTCTCTCATGTTCAATAAAAAAATACTCATTTGTTTCTGGATCAACATCTGATAATTATATTGAGGTTCGATTAAATCTTGATTCACGTATTGCAAGAACCATTCTGAAGGAGGTACTTCCAACTTGATTCTTTTCAATTCTCAGAGACTCAAATACGAAACTTGATTAATATCGAAAGATTCCCAATATTCCATCATAATTCATACCGATCAGTAATGACTTTCTATAATATTAGAAAGAGTAATTCTTCCACAATTACCAGTGTCCAATCTCTCAAATTGTTTGTTAATCAGCAATATATCTCTTTCTGTGATCTTTCCCAATTCCTTCAATTTGTACATCATATAATCTGATTTACTGTCAAAACACATAAAGAAATATTAGAAAATAGAGCAAATTTCTTGCAAATATATGAAAATGAATATGAATAGAATATTTTGTTTTTGTTTTGTTCCTCACACCATTAATCCACATTCGTTTTAGGGTTCAACTAATTTAATTTTGCAATTTTAAGTCTTAGTTTTGTGATAACACATTCCTTACCTTTTCAAGTTTCAAATCCTAACTACAGAGTCGTCTTTAACCGAGAATGTATTCCTTATAATGAAATCCTCCAATATAAATTCTAATTAATCGAGTTTCAAAATAGATACTAAATACCAGATACCAAAAAACAAAAATAAAACTTTTACCTTACAAAACCATCATGAAACTGATCAACAGTCACATCTTGTTCCATCACCCATTTTTCCACTTTACTTTGCCTTTCATCAACTCTAACTTCAACAAACAATATAAAAACTCTAACAACAACAATTATAGAAATAACTAACCAAATTGATCCAAAAATTCTTCCAAAAATTGATTCAAACACCTTTTCACCATAACCAACACTAGTAATTCCCATAAATGAAAAATAAAATGAATCAAACCATCCAATTTTCTCAACAAAATGCATTAAAAAAACTCCAATTCCAATACATAACACAAAAACACACAATGCTAGTGCCACTCTACTTCTTTTTCGTGTATCGAATAGCCTTTTATGAGTATTTTTTCGCAAATTAATAACGTAAATAACAAAATTTGATACTAAAATATGGTAAAATACTAAACTAACAAGGACTAATAAGATGGAAAATAATTTTGCAAGTGTACTATTTGGTGTTATGTCACTATAACCAATTGTACACATTATAAGTATGCAAAAATATAAAGCATCAACAATTGGATGAGTTTTTTTGGACTTAAATTGATCCATAAAGAAAAAACATATAGATACACCAATTGTCAAATAAAGAAATAAAAGTAATACAAGTTGTTTAAAAATTGTATTATTTTTCAAAAAATAGGGTGGATTTGAAATTGGTGTTAAATGATTTTCAAGATAATTAAATGGGATTATAGATGATGATGGTGTAGATTTAGACCTATGAAGTTTTCTCTTTGGTTTAATTAAAATTGGATTTTTAAAATTGGATTTGTGTTGGTTTAATGTTGAAGATGAAGAAGGGAGAAGAGGCTCTTTTTCCATCTTTTTTTTTGGGTTTGTTTGAATAACAAAAATCAAGTGATATTGGCTTAGTATATAGAAATATTGACTTATAATTTGTTTGATCAAGCTATCAAAATCAGTTAATTTTGATAAGTATTTTTTATAATTAAAAATATTTTTTTAAAAAAGGGAATAATTTTTAAGGGGATGACTCACCTCCAATAATTCAAATGTCTAGTATTGTTTAATACATTACTAGATGCAAGCCATGTGTACAATATAAAGATCAAGGATCTTGATTTGTATTAGTTGTTTCTTTTTCTACTTTTATCTTATTATCGAGATAATGTTGGAATAAAATTAAATTAAACAAATATTATAGTGATTGAAGATAATTTGATGAATCGGTGATAATTAACGATAGAGATGGATAGAATAATTTATAAGTGTTATATATAATATAATATATCGTTAAAAAATAACACAATAATATATTCAATATAGTTTCATAAGTGAGATAACAGAATTGAGACATAGTCATTACTTTCAAATAAAAAGGGAATTGATCTGTGGTCAATTTTGTATTTTTTGTACCTAGTATACAAAAAGTAAATATATGTCTGTTATACGCTACTACAAGAAAACTATTAATTACATGAAAATTTTTCTGAAAATTAGTATCGAAATTTGCACGAAAATAATATTGTGAATTTTCATACTAATTCCCAGGATAATCTCCTTGTAATTAACAGTTTTCTTATAATGCGTTCACAAAAAAAAGATAAATATATATATGCACCACTTTTTAACGAGTGATATAACTGCTTGAAGTCGCAAAGTTAAAAAAGGAAATATATATTTTCCCCCTTTTCCCAAATATGAATCTTTATGAACCACTGAAGTAATATAGATTGGGAATCATATGTTCAACTAAACCAAAGCTTTACCACAAGTATATATATCTGCTGGTTAAAACTATCAACAACAACAACAAAAAATTCTAACCAACAAGTTTCCCAGGCAACTAAAGGAACATTTCACCATCTCTATTACTGGATCCATCGCGCAAATAAGCTAACGACAGCAGAAAGCACGTAAAGCAGTAGCAAGAAACAACGGAGTGATGTCGAGCTGCTTATGATAAAACAAGGATAACAGAAACATAGATTGTATAACTCAACCTTCACATGACTCTCCTCTGCATCACGAAAAAAACGTTTTGCTTGGAATCATAATGCATCTCAAATCTGCAGTAGCAGAGAAATGTATGAATTGACAGATATAATATCGATTGAGTATTGCTAAGATGAATGAGAAACAAGACGAGTTCAGTATCCTTGAAAAAGAAAAGCTGAAAGGACGCGATTCAAACAACCTCATTTATCTTCTAAGTGTAGTAAATTTACGTTTCTTGAGTAGACGAAATCACCCTACATCTATTGCTCTATGTTCTGCATTTGTTTCGATTAGTATAACAGACATAACGTCCCCAGCAGTCCGATACTCAGAAGTACTAACGAATAGAATGATGATAACATGCTCTTGAAATGGAAAAAACTATGCATCCGGCTTACTCCAATTAAGATAAAATATCAGAAGTTGCAATTAAGACATCGATGATTCAAAAGTTAGTCAAAGAGCTGATCAATATCATTCGTTTTAGACTAAACACCCTCTAAATCGATTTGGAACAGGTGAGATCAGTTCCATTGAATAACTTACAGACAAAAGCCAAGAAAAAAACAGTAAATTTTAGCCCCACAGAGGAAAAAAAGAGCTAAAAGATGAGGCTGCAAATCAAGCCTAGTGTGCTCTTTCTGTCAACTGCCAAATCCTCAACACAACAAGAAGATCGTAGCTTTTGCTCAAACAATGTATTTGTGTTTCATTAAGTTTATGAACATATTAAATTTAGAACCCAGTTATTAGCACTTACATCGTCGTCGTAAAATCCAGAACCCATAAAGTTGAAGTCCTGACTCTGCCCTCTACTTACATATGAGCTCTTCTTCGGGTAGCATGGCGAAAAGAAGTTTCTAAATAGAACAACACAGATGCTCCAGATAAATCCTATGTCGTAAAACAGCAGGAGTCACCTATCTTTCCTGTTTATGGAGAACTATCGGGAACTGTGTATAGTCACAAACAATGTTCACTTAAAAAGGTCGCATATTTGACATGATTGTAATATAGAATTGCCATAAATCAGATGCATGAGTTCCAAGAAGTGCAGTACTAGAGAAGTATATATGCAGAGTTTTCACGAGAACGTGGATAGAAAGAAACAGTCAAACTACAAGGTACTGTTCAATTACTGCCAAAAGCAACTAACAGAATTTTCAGATTATGAAGCAGTTAATATTACATCATCAAAGATCAAATTCACAAGGAACAAAAAGAAAACGAAAAGGTCATTAGTAGCGAGATCATCTAACTGATATGAGCCTATACATTCTTGTTCATATATGCCTTTGCTATGTAAAAACCGTTGTGCCAAAAGACCAAAAAATTGAAAGAATGGATTTCCAACCTGAAGTTATTTATTCGATCCTGCAAACACCTCAAACAAGCCACAGCAACTCTTCCAGGAAGTTGTTTGCACTGGTCGTCGATCCAAAGCTACTAGTGGCTGCATATTACAAAAAAGGAAAAGTTTACATGATGGTTATGATCGATTCGAAAGAAAGGAAGGAATAGTCTACATTTCCCCTTGGGGATTTCCGGGAAAATATCATCCCATATGAAGGAAATCCAAAAGTAACTTGCATTTATGGTGCTATAATCTCATGGGAATTGAGAGAATAAATTTTATTAAAATAGTTTCGTAGCTTCTGAGGTATTATAAAATGAAATTTTGATCTAGTAGAGAGATAAACTGCCAGGTGAGTAGTCCGTAGAGAATTATCATGACACCGTATTAAGAAAAAGCTAGAGAAGAAGTGGTAAACCTGATGCTCATGGGTAGAACCTTCCATGTTGTTTGCACGAACACTAGCATCAACTACAGGCACATTGTACGATATCTCTAGTTTATCGTCATCTTTTACAGCCTTGAAGGGCTTTGCATTTGAAGTTGCTACAGCTTTATAGTCCCTTTTCTCTAATCCTGTATCCGCAACAACGTTTAACTTTCTGGTTTTCTCATCCATAACGCCCAATTCTCTCTTTTCATTTTCCTTCTCCGATGATCCAAAGGCCTCATTATCAATATCTGAAGCGCTAGTGGCAGCCTGAACTATGTCCTCCGACATAGAAGGTTTGCCGCTGCTACTTGACCTTCTTCGTAAGCCTCCTTCACGAGGGAATTTCGCGGGTTCAACACGCTCAATGTTAATGTTATTTCTCATAGATTCATCCTCAAGCTTCAATTCTCTTTCGACCTGAATGATACCTCCCTCTACCATTGCTACTTTATTCACTTCATTACTTCTTTTTTCCAATGCATTTGATTTGTTATTATCAATCGACGACTCACTATGTGGAATTTCCAATTGCTTCTCCCTAGTTCCCTCTTTATCATTGAACTGGTGATCTTGAGAAGCCAAGTAACTTACATCCCCGCCATCGGTCTCTTTATTACCACCGTGTTTCAAATCCTCTTCACCTGTCATAGATTTGTTCAAACCCAATGATTCAACGCACAAGTATTTTCGCAAATTAGCAATCACCCGTCAAATGATGCAATCCAAAATAACAGAACGATTCAATGATCTATTCAAATAATAGTACTATGGTTGAAGAGGACGTAACACTATCTACTCAAACACGTCTGTTGAAAAGCAGACAACAATGGGAGTAGCCTGAACGTAGTTATTAACTTATTATACCATCAAAAGCACACATCATATACAAATAAACATAAAACAATGTATAGACTGATAACTTACAACAACTATTTAGAGACATGAAGGTAAAAAAGACACAACGTAAGCAACAATGCAGAACAAGGGAAAATAAGCGAAATCCACTACTCACAAATTAACAGTTGCGGAGCCAGGAATCTTAACAAGAGCATTCATAGAAATTCAAAAGGAAAATTCCTTTTTACCTTTACTTGCATATTGTAATTTCCAGACGAAGGGATTCAAACCAGAGGCGAATCATTCAATACTAAAGAAAGGACAATAAAATGCATCAAGTGAAGAATTGACTCTAGTACCATTAGGTAAATAACTTAGCTTTCAACCAAGTGCATCACTAAGCCTTTTTGTAGTATGGACGCTAGAAGATAATACTAGATAAGTTCTGGAAAATATATACATTCACCTCGTTTTACGAAAAGACCATGGGTCACGTGCACCATAAAACTACCAAGTAAATTTGCCCCTGGATTCAACTGAACCCTAGCTAGGTCATTTCTCACAAACATGTCCTTTTTTTCGGTTTAACCATTAGATACCCTTTGGGACTGAGGCGTTATTGTTGTAACCATTAGTTCACTCCTCAACTATCCGAATTCGCACAACCTAAGACGAGTAAAAGAGGCCTCATACCATATTTCAATCCACTTTTAAATCACCAAAAGAACATATATGATACATTTTCTAAGAAAAGTCTATTCTTTTCGCGGAAAACATTTTCCTTCATGTCAAACGCCGAATACTCAATATTACCTCTACACTACTACATCCATCAGTCCAAATTTATAAACTTGTGATCACTAAAATGCACTAAACTCGCCCTATCTATGTTGTTCATCAAGGCCAAAATGAAAAAAAATCAAAATTAAATTATTTCTAAATGGCAAAAAGAAGTAGGAAGAATCGAACCACAAGAACCTATTATACAGAGTCTCAAAACCTACATTTTTGTATGCCATATGTAAGCGTTCATTAACACTAAAATGAAACATTTTTGTGCATTAAGCTCGCACTATGCACGGAGTTCAAGAAAATTTTATCACAAGATTGTACTATACCAAAAAAATGATGTGATACACATGTTACACTAAAATATAAAAATATTCAAAGTTAAATTTTTTCTGAATAACAAAAAAAGTTGTCCTAATGCACTAAGTTCACGCTATACACGGATTCCAAGAAATATTATACCACAAGAGTCTACTATATCAAAAAAAAGAAAATGTCATAAGGCCTAAAATAAGAAAGTTAAAAAAAATATCACATGAATCGAGACGAACAGAATAAATAAATTAACAGAGTTATGAAAAGTAACATACCATGAGAGTGAGAATTAACAGCAATAGGTGAGCTTGATACTTGTAGAACATTATTATTATTATTATTATTATTTCCTCCTAATTTCTTTTTTTTCTTGGAAGATTTTCTCTTTTTGGAACCTGATGGCATAATTTTATATGTATACAAAATAGATCTTTCTCAATTGAAATAAATAATAATAATAATTAAAAAAAAAACTATTTGTTTCTCTCTTCTAATCTTTGTTGTGTGAAGCTATTGGCTATGGAGGATTTCGGGTAAATTGGAGAAAAGTAGTAACAGATTTTGTAGGGAAACGAAGTGTTATTATTATTTTTTATTTATTTATATTTAAAATCTATTTTGGTCATTAAATATTGTTTATTTTTTCTCGGAATAATTATTTTACTTTTCTATGTAAAAATGTCTAACTTTGAGAAAATGTTTGTCTATGTATATTAAAAGTCATTCGTTTATGTTATTTCGGTTTGAAAAAAGATTAATCTATGTCATTATTTGTTAATCGGAGAAAGTTTTGATATAGCAAAATCATTTTTTATACGTAGTTAATTATGATTCGGTCACATCATTAATGGAATTATTTTTTTTAAAAAAAAGAAAAAGACTCAATATGTCATCGAGTTTTGAGAAAAACTTCATCTATGTCATTTAGTTAAAATTTTGACATCTATGCCATTTATGTTAACAAATAATGACATGCATGATTTCTTTTCTCAAACGAAAATGAGACAAATTTTTAACTGATGCTATAAGTAAGTCTTTATCAAAGTTTCATGCTTTTCTCTTAAAAATTTATCCTTTTTTTTCTTCTTATTTTGTACTCCTTGTATTTAAATTTATTTGCTTTACTTTTCTTATTTGATCCGTAAAAGAATATCTTCTTTTTTTTAAAGTCAAGTTAACCAATCAGATTGAAATAGTTACAAGGCCGCATTTGATTTGTCGAAACACATATCACTTGCACATTTAATTTATATTTATCGGTCTTTGACATGCTACATCGTTTGACATATAACTTATACACCTAACGATTATTTATTAACATTTGACATGACACATCATTTTACAAAATCATATTTACTCCTTCTTATTTAACATTGAATGCCACATTATTTAACAAGCGACATAAATTCATGATCTTGAATAATATGGTATATTGAGCAAATCCAAAAGTTTAGATGTAAATTTTATATGAATTCAATAATTTTTTATTTAAATTTTGCTCGACGTCCATACTTAATTTAAAAGAATAGACTAGAGGAAAATTTAATGACTATATAATTCATCATACTATATAAATCTTCCCAAACCTATAATACGGCCACTAATAGGTTAGGTAAAATTTATTACCTATATTATAATATTCACTCTTCTAAAATTAAAAAAAATACAAATAAAAACAATAGACAAACGCAACGCGCACACACACTAGATTCAACAAAGATTTATAGCTAGTGGTCCAAAAAATTGCTAACCATTAAACTAGACAAAAACACATTATTATTATTAAAAAGAAGTACAATATCAAATGGATTTAATTTTTTGTACTGATTATTTTAAAAAATATTTATATGATCAAGTCATTTATTGATTAATAACATTTAACTTTATATAACCAAAATATATGAATTCGATAAGTTGATAAAGATACTAACTAATTATCATGTTATAAGAGTTTAATTTACGAAACTGATACATGTACATAACTTAAATCCAATTAATAGATGTAGGGTAAAGATTTTTTTTTAGGTCTGCATATGATATAATCTAATATATAGTCCTTTAATTAAAAAAATATCTAATATATATTCTTCTTGAAGAAAATTAAGTATATCCACCCTTTAAAATTGAAGATAATTTTTCAGAAGAATAGCCCACAAAAGCTCTTTAATTACTTGAAATCAATAACATTTCTAGAAGGAGCTAAAGTTATTACAAATTGTGTTTTTAATTAATGTAAATAAAGTGGACAATGTGTTATAACATGCTTTGAATTACACTTAATATTAAGCGACAGAGGTCCAAAACACATCTGAATTATTATTTTATAAGTTTTACGTATTTATCTATCGATTATTTTTAAATTTTTTATATCTAAAGTATCAACATCTATAAGTGGAAGCTAATGCTAGGTCAGTTATTCTTCTTTTCTATTTGGACTATTCAATTAGGTGTATTTTTAATACACTAATATATATAGATAGTTTATATAGAGAAATGGAGCATATGATAATTAGAGCGTGAAAAAGTAATAATCTAATTTATATATTTATGATAATGAGTTTTATATGTGGTGCATTTAAATTAATCGATGCCCAACATAAATATCAACACTAGATAAAATTTATTTTTATCGATCGTACCAATAAGGGTGGTTATGGTGGAATAGATAAGATCTTTCTCTTCTAAATAAAAAATTATAAATTCGACTTTCGGATATAAAAAATTCTATTACACTACAATAAAAATAATTTTAAGCGGCAATAAATAGACACATTAATAAAGAGTGTTAAAGTTTTTACCAACATTACTTAAGTGTCATTAGATTCAATATCGCTAAAGCCTTTAGGGATATATACCAAAAGTGTTAATTGTCGCTAAAAATACATATTTAACGACAATTGCTAATTAATTGCTGTTAAAGCTTATTTTTTATGTGGTAATAGGATTTTATAGGACGTGCTTTTTCTTTAAATAAACCTTATACAGTGTGTATTCAAATTAATCACGCTCATATACGAATATCACATACCAAATAAGAATTTATTTGGAAAAAAAATTCATATTGAATATGCTAGCTACTAGCTAGGTGCTTAAATTGACATGTAAGAATATTAAATAAATGGTTCATTTTCCTATCTCCACAACTACACTTATTTTCTCCAAAATTTATATATAACTTTCTTCTATCAATTTCATTTCATCAAGAATTTTTTTTTTTTTAAAAAAAATGGCAAGAGGAGGAGATGAGAAAATTCCATTTTATAAACTTTTTGCATTTGCAGATAGAAATGATATAATTTTAATGTTGTTTGGAATATTAGGTGCTATTGCTTCTGGGGTTTCAAAGCCATTGATGTCACTTATGTTTGGTGACCTTATTGATTCTTATGGAACTTCTGATCAATCTAACATTCTTGATAAAGTTTCTCGGGTATAGTTCAAATCTTTCGACTTTTCAAAAGTATCGACAGGTGCACTGTGTGTGGGATCCTCTAAAGATGGTTGTACATTTTAAAGGGTTCGATACGAATGTGATGTCATATTTAAAGAGTCTGTGCAATATAGCTGCTAGCTACTATTTTATTTTTGTTGGTATAGTTCATCTTTCCTATGTTGCTTGGAAGATTTTTCAAAAATATTGACAAGTACATGTGGGGGTCTCTAAAGATGGTGGTGCATCTTTGGAGGGCTCAACATGTAGTGTGACCTCATATTTAAAGAGTTCGAACAATATTGTTATATTTGTGCTTGTGTCATTCGAACTCTTTAAAAATGTCTAATATCGGTGCGTGTCGAATTTTTTAAAAATCGAATATTCCAAAAAGATATGACACAAATCTAGCGTCATATTTGGAGAGTCTGTGTAATATATATAGTTGCTAGCTATTAGGGATTCTGTTAGCTAGAGGTTGAAGTTAGTAAGAGTTTATAGCTTCGAGACTTCTAGTTAAGGATGAAGAAGCGATTAATACTAATAAATAAAAATATTAATTTCTGACCCGAGACCTCTAGTTGATGGTCCAGAGCATATGAAATTACAATTTACAAAGAAATTTCTTCCATATTCGAACTCGAAACTTTTAGCTAAGGGTGGAGGGCATACATAACTACGACTCCTAAAAAATGAAAATTTTTAATGGAAATTCCATCAAAAAAATTTGACGGATTTTTCATTAAAAAATCTTATATTTTTGGATGATGATATCAATTCAAAAACAGGATTGAAATTATTCTAGAATTATTGAATTTTTTATTTTTTTTAACTATAAAATTGAATTACTTATCTTAAATTTTGAGAAAATGAACTAAATTAAATTATCTACTTAATATGCATGCAGATATCCCTCAAATTCGTTTACTTGGGCATTGGTACAGGCATAGCTTCACTGTTGCGTAAGTCTATATCACGCTGCGATCTAAAATTTTATAAGTTAACGCAAATGTTAGATGATAGTTTAATATTTTGTCGGTGTGGTTGCGCAAATCGATAAATAATAATGTCCACAAATTTTTTGATGAAAGTCCTAAGAGAGTATGCATTGATTTCTACTATTTTGGAAGATTTGACATGCACTCGACGATTTTCTTTGAAGTATTTGAGCAACATCGCTTTAAGTACTATCTAAGTTCTAGACGGCTCCAGAATTTAAGCTTTATGTGTTCAACTTTTAAATTTTTCTTTTTCGGGATCGACCCCATTGCATTTTAAAAAGTTATATGTTCATATCTACTATTTGTTGTAGTTTGTAAGGATTTTCATATATAAATTTATGATTTGCGTTGAAAGTACTGAGTTCAGATGAATCTGATTGATACTGGTACTCTGTGCGTCCGCCTTTGGGACTTGAAGTCAATTAGTATAATGAGCTCAGGAAGGAACAGATTTAGCTTCAATATGATTGATAGATATGCCATGTTTAATGTTCAACTCTTGATTGTCCATTTGATCATTTCAGAGGTAGCATGTTGGAGTATTACTGGAGAAAGGCAAGTGACTCGAATAAAATGCTTATACTTGAAAACAATCTTAAGACAAGATATCGAATTTTTCGATACTCAATCAGCAACAGGGGAGGTTATCGAAAGAATGTCGGGTGATACTATTCTACTTCAAGAAGCCATGGGTGAGAAGGTTAGTTCTAAGTCCCTTGAACTCCTTCTGTCCTGTATTGTATGGTACTATCACAAAACAGAAACACATTCCATATCAACAATGACACCTTAATTTGGACTTAGTTGGAGTCGGTTATTAGATCGTCCCCATCCATTTGTCGCCATGAATAGACTGATACAGCAACCATCTAGATTTGAGACCAATAATAAGCGCATGCTCATACGTTTGTAGTTACTCTCGTTGTTTTTGTACATTTTTATTTGTAAAGATGTTGTTTCTTATTATAGCTTGATTGTGTTAGGTTGGTAACTTTGTCATGCACATGTCAACTTTCATTGGAGGATTTGTAGTTGCATTTATCAAAGAGTGGCAACTCACTCTGGTTTTACTCGCAACCATTCCTGCAATCGCCATTAGCTTCTTTTGTGCAGCGTTGGTCT